TACCAGGCGCTTAATGGTGTTACCTTCCCAGGTGAGTTCTCTCTTCCTTGCTGTTTGTAACTTCTTGCACTCCGCCATGTTGTCAAATTCTTGACGTAGATTCGCCTCATGCAGTCTTAGCTCATAGACTTTTCTTGCTCATGTCCCCCATGCACGCATACCATTACTCATGTAGTCCTGCTTCATGGAGTTTTACTCATGCACTGCTCCTTCATGTAATTTTACTCATGCACTCTTGCTTTATGTATTTTTACTCATGTCCTCTTGCTTCATGTAGCTTTTACTCATGACCTCTTAATTGATTCATACATTTTTTACTCATGTCCTCTTGCTTCATGTAACTCTTACTCATGTCCTCTTGCTTCATGTAACTTTTACTCATGTACTCCTGATGCATACATTTTTTACTGATGCATACATTTTTTACTGTTTAAATTTGGAGATATCAAAAAGATGCCGAGTTGAGTATTGATTATCACGCACGGAACGTCATGACATGAGCGACGTAATATTTAGTGTGCATTATTTTGTATTTACAGTTTTACCTGCACGTGTGCAGCTACGCACGTGTTGAGTAATTGGATATAGTGAACATTATGTTATATAACAGATTCAAATTATAAGAAATTAGGCTGTACTCCAAGAGACAACACTTACAATGTATGGTGCATCGTGGAAGAAATGCGCGAGCGCACGCGAACGTATAAATACGGCTCAAGCAGCAACAGGGCCCGCGCCACGCACAACAGACGCTTTTATACCGCGACAAGGAAACCCGCGAGTCACATGACTAAAACATAATGTAAACGAGCCGAACCGCAGCCTAGCTGAACAGCTTAAATACCGCGCAAAACAAGAACTGAACAGTGCTAGAAATACGACAGTATATGACACACTAACAGAAATGATGAGAAGAAATAACAGTATAGATATATATGCTTTAACAAATAGCTCAAATAAACTATGAAGATTAGAACAATGCTAATATAGCCATAAGAAATCCTGCCATCCTACAAATAAACTATCCGAGATGATAACATATTATAATTTTACTGTCAACAATAGTTTAGAATCCTCAAATAAACTTGTCTTTTGAACACAAGACTAGAGTAGTATATTAGCGACACCTGGTTTTGGGAAAATCATCAATAATCTCAACAAATATATATACCATGATGCCCGTAGATTAAAAATACACAAAAATATATACAAAAAGCAATACTAAATTAACAAGCTCACAAAAAGTATTCATAATAAACACTAAGATTAAGAAATCACATGGTATAATACCACCAATAGCATAACCATAAAACTGTCATAGAATCAGCAGAAAAGCATCAAGAGGAGATAAAATGTTGATCAACTCTTGATACCACAGTATTATCACAACAAGCGCATAGGAACTAATGGTTTGATCTCAGAGTTTGTAACCCAAGACTACTTCGGAATAGTTTCAAATACTACATAGAACTGAATTACATGAGAGATGCACTGCTAACCCACAGAGAGCCTTGTAACATAGGCTTTCACTCACAGTATACTTCTTCAATAACGGGCTTGCAACCGCCTACTTCTCTGAGTACCAAATAGTTGAACTCTGTCACTGAACTTTTAGGATATATATGATGGCATCACAAGCATAGTATTTTACAATAATCACAATCATTATTTTTTGCCCAGTCTTTGTTCAATCATTAAATAATTGTAAAATCCAGCAAAAACAACAATAATTTATATTGTAATTAAACTCAGCTGCTTAAATTCAGGATCACTCAACAGCTTCCAAGGTTTATTGAGTTTTTTTGACACTTCTTGTTCTACTAATTCATACGATCTAGACGTTTCCTTCAACCATGCATAGCATTCTGTCAGCATAGGGCCAGAAGGCCAATCACAACGCAGAATGACAGCATTGCGCCGCACGAAGAAATGCTGTAAGCGTTCGGCGAACACGGCGATGATTAGCAGGGTACACGTGGACACTCGCTCTCTGATGACCAGGGTATGAAGTCGCACGCATGTCCGCACCAGCGACAACAGGTTGGAGTCGGGCCGATCTTGAAACGACTTCGGCCGGTGAACGCGCGGAATCTGCTGGTGTGCGAACACCTCCAACGTGCTTGCATAGTTATCCACTATGAACATCAGCGTGTTGAGCTTCATCACCGAGTATTTCGTGTCGTACAGAATGGACCGCACCGGCGCCCCCTCCTGGAGCAGCATGTCGGAGCGTGTCGCACCGGTCAGCACGAGTTCGATCCGCACCGCCGGCGCCCTCGCGCGCATGTCCCGCCACGCGTGACCCGGCGCCGCGCGGCACCGGCACGTGTACGCGTCCTGGTAGAGCACGACGAGACGCACGCGCGTGAACCCCAGCAGGTGCACGACGTCCTCGTCGACGTGGTTCGGCGAGATGATCAGCTTGCGCAGGTTGAAGAAGAGGCCGACGTGCAGGAACGGGTGCGGCACCTTCGCGCAGTCGATGACGCGCAGCGTCCGCAAGGTGTCGCCACTGTTCGCGAGCGTGTCGTCTAGCAGCTGTAGAGCCTCGTGCATTTCAAGGAGCAGGTGCGTGAGCTGCAGCTCTTGCAGACCTCTGAGTCGCTGCATCAGCTCCTGTAAGGTCCTCAGGATCTTGCCGCCTGTCCCGATGACAAACTTGCCGCGATTGCCACCAAGGTGCTGCTGGCAGGCAAAACGGAACTTGAAGCATCTGTCAACATGAGCAATACATATATTAGTCAGGAGGCAGATATCCAAAATAAGGATGAGCCTAAACTTTTTGGGTAGAGGCTGGAAACGGGTAAATATCATTT